ATGAGTCGCAAAGTTTGCAAGCTTTGCAAAGTTTCCAAACTCTATAATAAATACAGACTATAAGCCGCCATGAGCGAGAAAAGATGTAGAGGTTTCGTAAATAAACACTTAATTAAGTGCTTGAAACAACCTACGCTGGCTAGAAGTCCTTATATAGTGGCACAGAACAACATTGGAGACCCACACGCGACAGAGAAGACTAAGGCCATTCAATCTCACGTCCCTGCAAGACGAAGCCAATTAGTGAAGACATGTTTACTACATACAAAATTATCGGGAAAAATGACAGACGAGGGTAAAGGTCACTCTGAACGCCCAAATGAAGGAACAAAGGTAAAGCTACCCTAACCTAACCCATCGAGCCCCGGAATTGGACGGCAGACTCCATCCACAGATTCAAATGTTGATATGACATGTCCCAATAGGATCGGGAACTTGTAAACCAGTTGAGTGATAAGAAACGGGGCCAAAGAGCCGGAGCTCGACCCCGGAAGCACAATAGATAGGATACAACGAGGCAACTGGGCGAGTATGAGGAGATGTAGAGGGCTGGTAGAGGTCCGTTGAAGAAGGATGCCTCATCTGGGTGATAAAGTTCTTGTGGAAATCAATACGGCACTCTGGCCCCCTGTGGGCCCCCCTGTAGCCCCCCTGCAACCCCCCCTGCACCCCCCTCTATCTCCCCACCATTACTCTCCCCCCTCCCCCCCCGTACTCTATTTCTAACCACGGTACACGCCCTCCCTTAATCTCTTGTACCTGTCCATGTTGCTCCTACTCTTCCCTCACACCACTCCCTCATTATCTCTACACTCCCTCCTCACATTTCTCCTTCACCTCATTTCCCCCCCCCTCTCTATTTCCCCCTTACATCTCCTTCTTTCTATCCACTCAAAATAATAATGTTCCTCTTTTAATTCTTGTCTCTCGCTAGTGTTAACACCCCTCAGGCTGCTACACTCACCCCAACACACCCCTCAGGCTGCTACACTCACCCCAACACACCCCTCAGGCTGCTACACTCACCCCCAACACACCCCTCAGGCTGCTACACTCACCCCCAACACACCCCTCAGGCTGCTACACTCACCCCAACACACCCTCAGGCTGCTACACTCACCCCAACACACCCCTCAGGCTGCTACACTCACCCCAACACACCCCTCAGGCTGCTACACTCACCCCAACACACCCCTCAGGCTGCTACACTCACCCCAACACACCCCTCAGGCTGCTACACTCACCCCAACACACCCCTCAGGCTGCTACACTCACACCAACACACCCCTCAGACTGCTACACTCACCCCAACACACCCCTCAGGCTCCTACACTCACCCCAACACACCCTCAGGCTGCTACACTCACCCCAACACACCCTCAGGCTCCTACACTCACCCCAACACACCCCTCAGGCTGCTACACTCACCCCAACACACCCTCAGGCTGCTACACTCACCCCAACACACCCCTCAGGCTCCTACACTCACCCCAACACACCCTCAGGCTGCTACACTCACCCCAACACACCCTCAGGCTCCTACACTCACCCCAACACACCCCTCAGGCTGCTACACTCACCCCAACACACCCTCAGGCTCCTACACTCACCCCAACACACCCCTCAGGCTGCTACACTCACCCCAACACACCCTCAGGCTCCACTCACCCCAACACACCCTCAGGCTCCTACACTCACCCCAACACACCCCTCAGGCTGCTACACTCACCCCAACACACCCTCAGGCTGCTACACTCACCCCAACACACCCTCAGGCTGCTACACTCACCCCAACACACCCCTCAGGCTCCTACACTCACCCCAACACACCCTCAGGCTGCTACACTCACCCCAACACACCCTCAGGCTGCTACACTCACCCCAACACACCCTCAGGCTCCTACACTCACCCCAACACACCCCTCAGGCTGCTACACTCACCCCAACACACCCTTAGGCTGCTACACTCACCCCCAACACACCCTCAGGCTGCTACACTCACCCCAACACACCCCTCAGGCTCCTACACTCACCCCAACACACCCCTCAGGCTCCTACACTCACCCCAACACACCCTCAGGCTCCTACACTCACCCCAACACACCCCTCAGGCTCCTACACTCACCCCAACACACCCCTCAGGCTGCTACACTCACCCCAACACACCCCTCAGGCTCCTACACTCACCCCAACACACCCCTCAGGCTCCTACACTCACCCCAACACACCCTCAGGCTCCTACACTCACCCCAACACACCCCTCAGGCTCCTACACTCACCCCAACACACCCTCAGGCTCCTACACTCACCCCAACACACCCCTCAGGCTCCTACACTCACCCCAACACACCCCTCAGGCTCCTACACTCACCCCAACACACCCCTCAGGCTCCTACACTCACCCCAACACACCCTCAGGCTGCTACACTCACCCCAACACACCCCTCAGGCTCCTACACTCACCCCAACACACCCCTCAGGCTCCTACACTCACCCCAACACACCCCTCAGGCTCCTACACTCACCCCAACACACCCTCAGGCTCCTACACTCACCCCAACACACCCTCAGGCTCCTACACTCACCCCAACACACCCCTCAGGCTCCTACACTCACCCCAACACACCCCTCAGGCTCCTACACTCACCCCAACACACCCCTCAGGCTCCTACACTCACCACCACACACACCCTCAGGCTGCTACACTCACCCCAACAAACCCCTCAGGCTCCTACACTCACCCCAACACACCCCTCAGGCTCCTACACTCACCCCAACACACCCCTCAGGCTCCTACACTCACCTTACTAAAGAACATCTCTTCTTGCTAAAGAACATCTCTTCTTGCTAAAGAACATCTCTTGCTAAAGAACATCTCTTCTTGCTAAAGAACATCTCCTCTTGCTAAAGAACATCTCTTCTTGCTAAAGAACATCTCCTCTTGCTAAAGAACAGCGAATGTTACATCACCTTGAGAACTATTTCTCTGAAAACATATATTTCTGAAGTGAGTACTCTTGGAGAGAGAGACATACAGATCACCAACAGTTGAGGGTTTGTTACGCTACCATGGGTGAGACGAGCCAATCACAGGCTCTCTCTCCTCCCTCCTTAATCTTGTACACTTGTCGCCTGAAGACACTACTCATTCACAGGACATTAAATTAAGGTTAGGTTACGTTAGGATCTAATTCACAGGACCTTTTCAAGTGCCATATTGTCGTAATGGCTTGGCGCTTTCCCCCCCTGATAATTCCTTTCTTCCTTACCGTATACATCTTCAAATTTGTATAACATGATTTATGGATGTAGGTTTGTGGTATTGTATGTTGTATGCTGTCAGAACTGGCAGGCGTAGATATCTTCACGTTGATGTGATCGATATATTTCACTGGTAACAGTTTTAGGGATACTGTAGAGAACAGGGGTTGACTGACAATAGAGGGAAAAGCTGGTGACAGTCATAACACTAATTGGGGGGGAGGAAAAGACCCGTCCTAATTGGGTCTTTTAGAGATGATAGGGAGAAAAAGAGGGGCTATAAATCCCCAATAGGATGACCTTGCTTAGGAGCCTCGTGTGGTACATTGCAATGTGCTTTGTAATTGGACGATACCCTTCAGCACCTTCCTTACCCTTCAGCACCTTCCTTACCTTTCAGCACCTTCCATACCCTTCACCACCTTCCCTTCACCTCTTTCCCAACCTCTTGTAACCATTTTTAATCAATAATTTTCGTCCAAAAATAGTGTAATTTGGCACTTCATGCAAAGGGGTAGGTGTGTGTAGGGTAAGGGATGGGGGGGGTAGTGGACGCATGGGGCTCGACCCAGAACCGCCTATTACCACCCCCGGCCAGTGACCAGTCATCCTGCAAAGTTTGGTGAAGCTAGTCTGGCTTCCATATCCTCGAATAGACAGACATTCACTTCTATAAATATTGATCTTGTCAGTATGGTATAGGTATTGTCAGAATTGTATTGTATAAGTATTTTGTCAATATTATGTAGGTATTAAATGAACAAATCCACAAGGGCTGTGACGAGGATTCGAACCTACGTCCGGGAGCATCCCAGACGCTGCCTTAATTTGATACATCACGCTATTGTGATTTCTGTGTGTAATGCAGGTAGTAGGCAGTAGTAGTAGGCATCATTCAGTCTCGGAAGACTATGGAGTTGCACCCTGACAGGGCGCAAAGCCTGGGTAGGTTAATATGGAAGAGAAGCTGTTACCCATGCAGCGGGTCTCCTCCTCTCCACGTAGGTATTATGTTTATAAAGGTGTGTGTTTGTGTATGTACTTTGTGTATATTATATATAAGTGTTTTACGGAGTGTTGCCTTGGTTACAGGGAGGACGAGGGCTTCATCAAGGAGGAGGAGCGTCCACTGCCCGAGAACGAGTTCCAGCGGAAGGTGTGGCTGTTGTTCGAGTACCCAGAGAGCTCGCAGAATGCGCGCGTGGTGGCTATCATCTCCGTCTTCGTTATCCTCCTCTCCATTGTGATCTTTTGCCTTGAGACCTTACCGGAATTTAAGCACTACAAAGTGTTCAATACCACGACCAACGGCACTGTGGTTGAGGAGGACGAGGTGCCCGAAGTCACGGATCCATTCTTCCTTATAGAAACCATTTGTATCGTTTGGTTTTCAACGGAACTATTAGTGAGATTTTTTGCGTCGCCACTCAAAGGAGCGTTTTTGAAAGACGTCATGAATATTATCGATATAGTAGCTATCATTCCTTACTTTATTACTTTGGCCACTGTGGTAGCAGAGGAGGAAGGGGAAGTGATGGTGATCCCCGCAGAAACACTCTCCCCGCACGAGAAGGGGTCCAATCAGGCCATGTCCTTAGCCATCCTCAGAGTTATCCGACTGGTCCGAGTATTCAGAATATTCAAATTGTCTCGGCACTCCAAGGGGCTTCAGATTCTAGGAAGAACGCTCAAGGCATCCATGAGAGAACTTGGTCTGCTAATATTCTTCCTCTTCATTGGTAAGTATGAGTGTGTTTTCTAGTTCCTCGAGGGTTTTACTTTTTCTGTCAGCCAGCTGGCGTACCAGACTGTTGGTGTTAGCGTAGGCCTACTCATCATCCCCCCCCCCCCTTTACCTGCTGCTCTTGTGCCTACAGCAGGTGATGTGTAGTACGTGTCAACCATTTAGTAAAGATCATACCTCCTAGATATGACGGCAGATGATAAAGATAGCTAGTTACCTTCAGGCAGGATATCAGCTTTACTGACAGGCTTCAGAAATAGATTTCTTATGATACAAAATAATGTTATTCTCCCTGTGATTTTTTTTAATATGGTTGGAAATGGTGATGTAGCCTTTGATTCAAGACACATATATGCTTCCTGTAGTGAAGGTTTGATCCTGTCACTCATGCAGTTGACAGTGGATCAAGATTAATATGGTTTTTGTATAATTAAATTTTTAAATCAAACGGCTCTCAAGATTAACACATCAATCGTTAAACTAAATAAACATTATTCAAGTTTGCAATTTTCGTAGCATTGAATTTGCATGTAGTAATGTTTTGTGAATATAGTTTCAAATGCCGGAAATTTAATTTTCAAAGTGGTAGTCATTTAAATTTCAACATTTGCTTCTTAATACTAAAAATAAACTAGATTTCAAAACTGCATCCCATTACTGTAGAACCCGGCGTCAAAAGAGTATTCTCAGGAACAAATGTCTTCCACAATTTCCATATTCTCGTAGCTGTTTCATGGATAGACTCTGCCACCCATTATATTCATAAAGATATCCAGATTAACCCAGTTACCTTTCAGGATGCTTGTGTGTTAAAGAGTGGCTTAGAGCTTATTGGGGGCTTGTCTGTCTGTTCTACGTGCATGTCGCAAAATTCTTCTTCTCTGTCTCTTTAGTCCACTTATAAAAAGCTGTTAGAACCGTTAAAACCGTTAAAAACCGTTACAAAGGGACTCTCAGGGCGTTCAGTGGGTTACAGGAGTCGCGGGGAAGATGAGTAATATTATGTAAGGGGGGAAATGAGTAAGGTGGTGTATCATGGGCTGTGAATCAGATGCTGGGTGATGGGAGATGAAACTTGTGTTCCTTGAGGTATGGACTGCGTTGGGGGCGGTGAATCAGGGAGGTAAATCAGGGCGCCAATTTTTAGATGTGATGGGGGTGACGAGCAAGGTGCTGGGGACGGAGAGGGGGGAGAGGGGCAGCTGAGACCTGTGGGGTGTTGTTGTTGTCGTTTCAGAATTAGCAACTCGGAACGATGTAGTGTCCATGTAGCACGGGCTATGGCGAGCCCAGTGGGGCGGTGACGCGTGCGTTTCATTGCGTTGGTAAGTCAGGTGTTTTATTGGGGGCAGGTGAAGCATATGTTGTGTTAGGACGGCGAGTACAGGTGTTGTAGTCCCAGGACAGTGGGACCAACAGTACCAGGACAGTGGGACCAACAGTACCAGGACAGTGGGACCAACAGTACCAGGGCAGTGGGACCAACAGTACCAGGACAGTGGGACCAACAGTACCAGGGCAGTGGGACCAACAGTACCAGGACAGTGGGACCAACAGTACCAGGACAGTGGGACCAACAGTACCAGGACAGTGGGACCAACAGTACCAGCACAGTGGGACCAACAGTACCAGGACAGTGGGACCAACAGTACCAGCACAGTGGGACCAACAGTACCAAGACAGTGGGACCAACAGTACCAGGACAGTGGGACCAACAGTACCAGCACAGTGGGACAAGCAGTACCATTAAGTGGGACAAGCAGTACCACAAGACCACCGGAGCTTGTTAAGTAATAACAATGTACCATATCTTGCTAGACGTTGCCTAATCATTCCTTGGAGATCAAGTCCCTCGTCTCCGAGACATAACCCTACAGCTGGGGCCTCTAGTTGAGTCTTAGGTTCAAGTATTTGCGAGTGTATAGGTCTGAGCCCCAGTGTCTCTGTTTGATCCTTGCAGCGGGGGGACATAAGTGCCAATCTCCGTGTTTGTTGACATGTTGATGTGACGTTTTAGCACCCAGGTGCTTTCTGGTCTTTCGGGTGATGAGAGAGAGAGAGAGAGAGAGAGAGAGAGAGAGAGAGAGAGAGAGAGAGAGAGAGAGAGAGAGAGAGAGAGAGAGAGAGAGAGAGAGAGAGAGAGAGAGAGAGAGAGAGACCCCCCCCCCCTGCCATAGGTCGAGCTATTGACTGACTATTTACTGAGTACCTATTTACTGCTAGGTGAACAGAGGCATTAGGTGAAAGGAAACGTGACTAACCGAGGATCGAATCAGGGATCCGTGATTGTAAATCGTGAATGAAGTCAGCTGTACTACCAGTTTGAGTATTTACTATTTGTATTTAATACTTATGCCTGCAGGGGTCTAGTTCTAAGCTCTTGGGCCCCAGCCTTTCTAACCGTTGGGTGTCTAATGTACTGACTCCCGATGCGTGTTCCTCTATCATATATTCTACATATATTTTCCTTTAACACACACACACACACACACACACCGGTGGCCGAGCGGACAGCACGCTGGGCACGTGATCCTGTGGTCCCGGGTTCGATCCCGGGCGCCGGCGAGAAACGGTGGGCAGAGTTTATTTCACCCTATGCCCCTATTACCTAGCAGTAAATAGGTACCTGGGAGTTAGTCAGCTGTCACGTGCTGCTTTCTGGGGTATGTGTGTATGTGTGTGTGTGTGTGTGGTGGGGAAAAAAATAGTAGTAGTAGAAACAGTTGATTGACAGTTGAGAGGCGGGCCGAAAGAGCAGAGCTCAACCCCCGCAAGCACAACTAGGTGAATACAACTAGGTGAATACACACAGAAGGGTGCGAAGACTGCACATTTTTGGAGTGCCAGGAAGCCTTTGACACTGTACCCTATAGGAGACAGTACATAAGCTGGAGAAGCAGGCAGGGGTAAAAGGGTTCAGTCCTTAGACCTATACTGTTTCTGATATATATGAACGATCTCCCAGAGGGATGATACTCGTTCCTCTCGCTGCTTGCTGATGATGCAGACATTATGAGGAGGATTAAGACACAGGAAGATATCAAGAGGCTACAAGATGACATGGACAAACTGAAGGAATGGTTCAACAAATGTCTACTAAAATTCAACCCAAGTAATTGTAAGGTAATGAAACTAGGTGCAGGGAACAGGAGGCCAGACACAAGGTACGAATGGGAGACTAAGTCGTTCATGAAACGGACATCAGCGGCGTATGCGAGGCTGGCTAACATCAAAACTGCCTTTAGAAAGTTGTGTAAGGAACTATTTAGAACCTTTTATACCACATATGTAAGACCAATCCTGGAGTATGCAGCTCCAGCATCGAATCCATACCTTGTCAAGCGTAAGACGAAGCAGAAGGTTCAAAGGAATGCAGCCTGACTAGTCCCAGATCTAAGAGGCATGAATTACGAAGAAAGGCTACGCGAATTGCACCTCACGTCGATGGAAGACACAGGTGTTCGGGAGACATGATCACCATATACACAATTCTTCGTGGAATTGACAGGGTGGACAAGGATGGATTATTGAATACGGGTGGTACATGCACAACGGGACACAGGTGGAAGCTGAGTACCCAAATGAGCCACAGACACATTAAAAATAACTTTTTCAGTGTCAGAGTGGTTAGTAAATGGAATGCACTAGGCAGTGATGTGGTGGAGGCTGACTCCATTCACAGTTTCAAATGTAGATATGATAGAACCCAATAGATTCAGGATCCTATGCACCAGTAGATTGACGGTTGAGAGGCGGGACCAAAGAGCCGAAGCTCAGCCCCCGCAAGCATAACTAGGCGAGTACACACAAAGGATGTAACCAGGAGCAGTTACGTGACTCCCACGTATCTAGTGGTTGCTGAGTGAACAGGTAGCTTTAGGTGAATAAAAAAAAAAATTGCCCCATTTGTTTATCTCAGCCGGGAATCGAACCCGGGATCTTAGAACTACGACCCCTTATCGCTATCCCCGTGTGTTGTACTCCTTGGCTTCCACGGCTCATTTTACGGCTGCTAAGTCTTATTGATGTTGTGCTTGCGAGGGTTGAGCTTTGGCTCTTTGGTCCCGCCTCACAACCGTCAATCAACAGGTGTACAGGTTCCTGAGCCTACTGGGCTCTATCATATCTACACTTGAAGCTGTGTATGGAGTCAGCCTCCACCACATCTACGTGTGTGGAGGGAGAGGCATTTATGACCTTGCCTCCTCTTCCTTCCCCACGTACCCCTCATATATGCACTAGGAGGCATATATATGCACCAGGTATAACTCGTTTGTTCTAGATGTATGCACTTCTATTCCTGGACAATGTTCAGCACTAGGGTATTAAGAACATAAGAACAAAGGTAACTGCCGAAGGCCTATTGGCCCATACGAGGCAGCTCCTGTATATAAGGTATTCTTGCTCATATTTGTGAGCAAGAATATGCTCCTGGTGCATATTCTTGGTGATTTGTCATTAATTGTGGGCTTAATTTTCCTCTAGAGGTCGTGAGGCCTTAATAACCCTCCAGAGGTTGATAGACCTTAATAACCCTCCAGAGGTTGATAGACCTTAATAACCCTCCAGAGGTTGATAGACCTTAATAACCCTCCAGAGGTTGATAGCTCCTTAATAACCCTCCAGAGGTTGATAGACCTTAATAACCCTCCAGAGGTTGATAGCTCCTTAATAACCCTCCAGTCTACCCCCTCCCTCCCCCCCACTCCGCTCATCAATCTATCCCCTCGTTTGACATAACTTGGGTGTTGCATAGCCAAAACACAATACTTGGCCTAGTATGCAAGGCCTGATTTGCCTAACAGGCAGAGAGTTTTAGGTATTAAAAAATCAAATTGGTTTATTTTAATTAATATTATATTAACAACATACCTTGCATACTAGGTCAAGTAGTACGATTATGGCTATTAGGCACGACAAAATATATATATATATATATATATATATATATATATATGTCGTACCTAGTAAGCAGAACGCACTTCTCTGCCTACT